GCTGTTGTCGGCGCGCTGTTGTCGGCGCGCTTCTGCATTCACTCATCAGCGCGATTTCTCCACGCGGTTTCATCGGCGCGCTTTTGTCGAGCGCGCATTTGTCGGTGAACCCAGGAAACACACTGGAATTGTCTAAGGTTGAAAGGACTTAAAAGCAGTGGTGGGATTCAAATCATTTAACAACCGGTTCTCTGCCCTAATGATTGCAAAACCTTTTTTTTTTTTAATTTGCCTCTTCAAAATCTTGGTGCGTCTTATACTCCGGTGCATCTTATACTACCAAAAATACGGTATCTCTATACTAAACCAAGCTGCTCAGAAAGTTAACAACCGGTTCTCCCGAAATGGTGCGAACCGCCTGAATCCCACCACTGCTTAAAAGTATTTTCAATTACGATATTACATAGTAAACACAAAGCATTAAAGTGATCGGAAAAAACGATTTTTTTTTTAACCGAGGCAAAAAAGAATATTAAGGTTTTACATTATTTTTAAGAAGGAGATCAAGGTGCATTTGCAACCTGCCTTTTTTAATGAGATAGAACGTTTTAAGACGTTTATAATACCAATTTCCAAAACTACTTTTTAAAGAGTTGTTGGAGACCCCAATATAAAAGACAAAGAATCCGTTCTGGCACTTTGCAGCGTAATAATTACCACATTTTTGGAGTATAAGACGCACCTTTTTCCCTCGAAAGAGAGGGTGAAAATCTGGGTGCGCCTTATACACTGAATACAGCATTTTTTGGCCTACCGAAACCCCGCCCCCTTTGCAAAAATGCCCGTGCATAGCCTTTAGGAGGCTTTCAGAGTGCTCCTGGGCCTGGGGAGGGCAGAAATGAGCAAAAAATGGGGGGGTTTTTTGCTCGTTTTTGCCTCCCCAGCCCCAGGAGCACTCTATAAGCATCCTAAAGGCTATTCAAAAATGGCGCGTTTTTGAGATGACTGCAGAGTGCAAAAACTTTTTTCTTTTAAACTACTTCTACAGTACATTCATTTTTTTAAAGGGGTGGCCCCAAGCTTATAAGCTTGGCAGTCCATAAAAAGTGTTTCGATAGGAGGAAATAAATCCTGGAAATAGCAGTGTTAATATTACCCGGTTTCCCCAAAAATAAGACCTACCCGGATAATAAGCCCAATCGGGCTTTTGAGCGCATGTGCTAAAATAAGCCTTCCCCGAAAATAATGCAACACAGCATTATTATCAACATGAGGTGACCACGCTTGCCTCCTCCTCCTGCACCTCAAAAATAATAAGACCTCNTTTCTCCTTTCTTTCTTTCTGTCCCTGTTTCTCTCTCTCTCTTTTTCCTTCTTTCTTTCTCAGCACCCTAACTCCCTTTTTTGGCCTAGCAGGCTCAAGGGAAGTCTGCTGGGAGCAAAAACTGACCACTACCCCCCCAAACGCGTTTTTAGCTGTGTGACGTGTGATCATCGGAACTTTTTTTTAAGAAAAAAAAACTTTTTAAAGTATTTTTTACTACCAGTTCTGCAAACCAGTAGCATTTTTTTAACTACCCGGTTCGGGCGAAGCATCCCAAACTGGTGGCATTTCACCCCTGCTTATGACCGTTTTTCACACTTACTTTTTCACACTTACGATCATTGCAACGTTCCCCATGAACATGTGATCAAAATTTGGAGACTTGGCAACGGTTTGCAGTGTCCCGGGGGGTCATATGATCGATCCCCTTTTGCTAAGGGGAATCAGATTCATTTAACAACCGTGTGACTAACTTAACAACTGCAATGGTTCACTTAAACAACCGTGGCAAGAAAGGTCGTAAAACGGGGCAAAACTCAACTTATCAAAGGGGCTCAATTGTCGTAAGTTGAGAACTACCTGCAGGTTCACTGACAAATGCACGCTCGACAAAAGCGCGCCGACGAAACCACGGGGAGAAAACCGTGAGTTCGAAATTGTGCTGACGAATGAGTGCAGAAGCGCGCCGACAACAGCGCACCGACAGAAGCGCACTCTAAACCTAACCCTAAAGGTAACCCTGAACCTAACCCTGAACCTAACCCTAACCCTTAACCGTAATTGTGCTTCTGTCGGCGCGCCTTTGTGGGCGCGCTTTCGCCGTCGCGGTTTTGTCGGTGCGCTGTTGTCGGGCGCGCATTTGTCGGGTCACACTACCTGCATATATTAGCCTTTAGAGGAGACCAGTGTGTTCGCGTCAACGTAGAGGATGGATTTTATTTCTATTTATTCATTATTAAATTCAATTATAACGAAGGATGTGCTCCTTCCAATGGGGACCGACAGTAGCCCGGAAGTAAAATAAATAAATGGAGGTATGGGTGCGTCTTAAGAATGCAATGGACACGGACTACATTGAAGGGAAAATGCGTGTTTTTAATCGAGCGAAAACGCAGAACAATATGGGCACAGATATATATGCATGGTGAGAACCGCTGGAAAAGTAGCATGTGTGACTGAGCTCCAAAGACGACAAAAGCAAATGGAATGCAAAGAAAGAGCAGGAAGATGGTGGTGTGGAACGCACCTTCTGTGTCATTGCGCAATTGCTCCACCAAATCTGTCAAATCCTCCCATGAGTCTTTGAAAACAGCAGAAAAAAAAGGGGGAAAGAAAGAAAAAAAGATGTCATGGAAGCCATGATACAAAGAAAAGAGGGGTGGGGGAGTCAAGGTAAGGAAACTGAATAACAGAGAGCGAGGCTGTTATACAGGAAACATGTGACCCGACAAATGCGCGCCCGACAACAGTGCGCCGATAAAACCGCGACGTCAACAGCGCGCCCACAAAGGCGCACCGACAAAAGCACGATTATGGTTAAGGTAAGGGTTAGGGTTAGGTTCAGGGTTAGCTTTAGGGTTAGGTTTAGAGCGCACTTCTGTCGGCGCACTGTTGTCGGCGCGCTGTTGTCGGCGCGCTGTTGTCG